TGGATGGCATTGCGTTCCGCATGGCTGAGGTTATGGGGCAAGTGATGCTGCTTTTCCACAATTTCAGCCCGTGCACGTCGGCGGAAGCACTCTATGTAGAAGTCCAGTCTGCTGTTTCGACCTTCAGGAGGAGTCCATCTAGAATCCCTCTTTCTGTAGTGTTGGCAGGGAGACCTCTGTGGATTAGTATGTTGTTCAGAGGTATTTTGGAAATATTCCTTGAGACGGAGACGTCGAAAATAGGATTCTAGGTCACCACAGAACTGTATCATGTTCGTGGGGGTGGAGGGCAGAAGGAGAGGCCCCGAGATAGAACAGCTGCTTCTGCTGGGCTGAGAGTATAGTTGGATAGGTTAACAATATTGCTAGGTGGGGTGAGGGAACCATTGCTGTGGCCCCTTGTAGCATGTAGTAGTTTAGAAAGTTTAGTGTCTTTTTTCTTTTGTAGAGAAGCAAAGTGTGCGTTGTAAATGGCTTGTCTAGTTTTAGTAAAATCCAGCCACGAGGAAGTTTGTGTGGAAGGTTGGTTCTTTATGAGAGTATCCATTTTTGAGAGCTCATTCTTAATCTTTCCTGTTTGCTGTAGAGGATCTTGATCAGGTGATTCCGCAGTTTCTTTGAGAGCGTGAGGCACAAGCTGTCAGCATAGTCTGTGTGGTATGTAGATTGTAATGGATTTTTGACCTTCAGTCCTTTTGGTACGATGTCCATCTGTTTGCATTTGGAAAGGAAGATGATGTCTGTCTGTATCTGTACAAGTTTCTTCATGCAGTTGATAGATTTCCACTCCATACGGCTAAATGCAGTGCCTTGCATAATGACAGGTTTCAGAGGAACAGCCGTGTTAGTCTGTATTCGCAAAAAGAAAAGGAGTACTTGTGGCACCTTAGAGACTAACCAATTTATTTGAGCATGAGCTTTCGTGAGCTACAGCTCACTTCATCAGATGTTTACCGTGGAAACTGAAGCAGACTTTATATACACACAGAAATCATGAAACAATACCTCCTCCCACCCCACTGTCCTGCTGGTAATAGCTTATCTAAAGTGATCAACAGGTGGGCCATTTCCAGCACAAATCCAGGTTTTCTCACCCTCCACCCCCCCACACAAATTCACTCTCCTGCTGGTGCTAGCCCATCCAAAGTGACAACTCTTTACATAATCAAGTCGGGCTATTTCCTGCATAGATCAGGTTTTCTCACATCCCCCCACCCCCATACACACACAAACTCACTCTTCTGCTGGTAATAGCTCATCTAAACTGACCATTCTCCAGGTTTAAATCCAAGTTAAACCAGAACATCGGGGGGTAGGAAAAAACAGGAGGAAACAGGCTACCTTGCATAATGACTTAGCCACTCCCAGTCTCTATTTAAGCCTAAATTAATAGTATCCAATTTGCAAATGAATTCCAATTCAGCAGTTTCTCGCTGGAGTCTGGATTTGAAGTTTTTTTGTTTTAAGATAGCACCTTCATGTCTGTGATTGCGTGACCAGAGAGATTGAAGTGTTCTCCGACTGGTTTATGAATGTTATAATTCTTGACATCTGATTTGTGTCCATTTATTCTTTTACGTAGAGACTGTCCAGTTTGACCAATGTACATGGCAGAGGGCATTGCTGGCACATGATGGCATATATCACATTGGTGGATGTGCAGGTGAACGAGCCTCTGATAGTGTGGCTGATGTTATTAGGCCCTGTGATGGTGTCCCCTGAATAGATATGTGGGCACAATTGGCAACGGGCTTTGTTGCAAGGATAAGTTCCTGGGTTAGTGGTTCTGTTGTGTGGTATGTGGTTGTTGGTGAGTATTTGTGATCAAATCCGCACAGACACACCCCTGGAACCCCACCTGGGATATTCTATCTACTACCCAAGATCCATAAACCTGGAAATCCTGGGCGCCCCATCATCTCAGGCATTGGCACCCTGACAGCAGGATTGTCTGGCTATGTAGACTCCTCCTCAGGCCCTACGCTACCAGCACTCCCAGCTACCTTCGAGACACCACTGACTTCCTGAGGAAACTTCAATCCATCGGTGATCTTCCTGATAACACCATCCTGGCTACTATGGATGTAGAAGCCCTCTACACCAACATTCCACACAAAGATGGACTACAAGCCGTCAAGAACACTATCCCCGATAATGTCACGGCTAACCTGGTGGCTGAACTTTGTGACTTTGTCCTTACCCATAACTATTTCACATTTGGGGACAATGTATACCTTCAGATCAGCGGCACTGCTATGGGTACCCGCATGGCCCCACAGTATGCCAACATTTTTATGGCTGATTTAGAACAACGCTTCCTCAGCTCTCGTCCCCTAAAGCCCCTACTCTACTTGCGCTATATTGATGACATCTTCATCATCTGGACCCATGGAAAAGAAGCCCTTGAGGAATTCCACCATGATTTCAACAATTTCCATCCCACCACCAACCTCAGCCTGGTCCAGTCCACACAAGAGATCCACTTCCTGGACACTACAGTGCTAATAAACAATGGCCACATAAACACCACCCTATACCGGAAACCTACTGACCGCTATTCCTACCTGCATGCCTCCAGCTTTCACCCTGACCACACCACACGATCCATCGTCTACAGCCAAGCTCTGCGATACAACCGCATTTGCTCCAACCCCTCAGACAGAGACAAACACCTACAAGATCTCTGTCAAGCTTTCTTACAACTACAATACCCACCTGCAGAAGTAAAGAAACAGATTGATAGAGCCAGAAGAGTTCCCAGAAGTTACCTACTACAGGACAGGCCTAACAAAGAAAATAACAGAACGCCACTAGCCGTCACCTTCAGCCCCCAACTAAAACCCCTCCAACGCATTATTAAGGATCTACAACCCATCCTAAAGGATGACCCAACACTCTCACAAGTCTTGGGAGACAGGCCAGTCCTTGCCTACAGACAGCCCCGCAACCTGAAGCAAATACTCACCAACAACCACATACCACACAACAGAACCACTAACCCAGGAACTTATCCTTGCAACAAAGCCCGTTGCCAATTGTGCCCACATATCTATTCAGGGGACACCATCACAGGGCCTAATAACATCAGCCACACTATCAGAGGCTCGTTCACCTGCACATCCACCAATGTGATATATGCCATCATGTGCCAGCAATGCCCCTCTGCCATGTACATTGGTCAAACTGGACAGTCTCTACGTAAAAGAATAAATGGACACAAATCAGATGTCAAGAATTATAACATTCATAAACCAGTCGGAGAACACTTCAATCTCTCTGGTCACACAATCACAGACATGAAGGTCGCTATCTTAAAACAAAAAAACTTCAAATCCAGACTCCAGCGAGAAACTGCTGAATTGGAATTCATTTGCAAATTGGATACTATTAATTTAGGCTTAAATAGAGACTGGGAGTGGCTAAGTCATTATGCAAGGTAGCCTGTTTCCTCCTGTTTTTTCCTACCCCCCCCCGATGTTCTGGTTTAACTTGGATTTAAACCTGGAGAATGGTCAGTTTAGATGAGCTATTACCAGCAGAAGAGTGAGTTTGTGTGTGTATGGGGGTGGGGGGGATGTGAGAAAACCTTGATCTATGCAGGAAATAGCCCGACTTGATTATGTAAAGAGTTGTCACTTTGGATGGGCTAGCACCAGCAGGAGAGTGAATTTGTGTGGGGGGTGGAGGGTGAGAAAACCTGGATTTGTGCTGGAAATGGCCCACCTGTTGATCACTTTAGATAGCTATTACCAGCAGGACAGTGGGGTGGGAGGAGGTATTGTTTCATGATTTCTGTGTGTATATAAAGTCTGCTGCAGTTTCCACGGTAAACATCTGATGAAGTGAGCTGTAGCTCACGAAAGCTCATGCTCAAATAAATTGGTTAGTCTCTAAGGTGCCACAAGTACTCCTTTTCTTTTTAGAAATGCCTTGTTGATAAAGAAGATTGACAAGGAGCATTCACAAGAAACCTGCATGTTTCCTTTCAGTGGGGTTGTGTTTTTAGCACGTGTCATGAATTTGGCTTCAGGAGACATGTGGCTTAAAAACTTACTCAGTGCTTTCAAAGTATTTTTCCGTAAAAGTCCTCCTTTAACTATAGTGACATTAGGCTGGATTCATGAACACAGTATTGATTTGTGCACATTGCTTTTTCTCTCTTAGATGTTTGCATGAGAGACAGAATGGCTTTACATGTATTTACCATCACCTCACAGATCTGTATTATTTACTGTTGAATTTATAAGACAAACCCATTGTTGAACCTCTGGGTGCTGGAACAGTTCAGTACTGTAAGAAAACATATATTTTTGACAAAATAAATTACCTCAGGAAAAATGACAGCCCCTGCACGGTGCTATGAAAGTCATTAAACTTGGACTTTATCAGACGAATAAGGATGTGAGTTCTAGAGTTGAGTTTTCTCCATACTCTTAGTTTCCATCATATTGATGTCTAGGGACTGCAAGCGAAAGCAACCCAGTTAATCTTAACAATCAAGATGGATTTAAAACAACAACAATGTTTCTTTTCAGATAACTTTACATTAAAATCATTTTTAAATAAAATTATTTCCATCAAGCAGGACTTGCTGAAAGATACTTTCTAGACAGCCTTCCCCCATGCACCCACCTATACAGAGAGAGTTTTGCAACTGGGAAAAGTTGGAGACTGTCCTGGGTGTTTGAGTTGATTTCTAGTTGATTTCTGTCCTGGATGTGTGAGTTGAATGAGCTGTTTTACACTTTTTGCCTATTTCTAATCAATTCAGGAGGCATGGCCCATTTATTTTTTTAGAAAAGGTCCATAAATCAAGGCAAAACAGTGTGTGTGGTATTTTTGTTGTTGTTGTTTTTTGCTGGTTTTGAAACAGACATTATTAGTCCTAACTCAGTCATAAAAATAGCCTGTTGATCAAACACTTATTTCATGTTGTACCTTCTTTTGAGTAAAAATACTTCATGAATTCCACTGATGTGTTTGTTTATGGTTATTTTCAGAACTGGAGGCAGAGGAGTGGTGCAAACATCTTTGCATGGAGTGTCTAGGAACCAGGCTCAATGATATAAGCCTTGGGGAGCCAGATTTGCTTGCTGCTGGAGTCCAGAGGGAACAAAATGGTAGGTAGCCATCTAATCCAACCATTCCAAATATTTCTGTATAGTTCTTCCTAAAGGTGAACGACATTGTACATTTGTTGAGGGTTTTTTCTTCATATCTGCTAGAATAGTTGCCTTAAAATTATTAGAATTTTGCTCTATTTTAACAACATCATAGTACGTGTTAGATTAATAAGGAAAAATTAACCAGATGCAAGGAGGGGAGAAAATTCTGACTAACCCTAGTAGCAAGTCCCTGACAAATATGATGTGTACATATAGAGAGACAGACAGACAGAGAGACAGACACTGTGGTCACATTTGGGAAATTTAAATCATGACTTCATTGGCTCCAGAAACACCAGCCTCTGCACAATGAGAGAAAACAGCAGACATTCTAAAATAGTCCCTGAAGAAATTGATGAACATTCTAACCCTTTGGGTTAGAAACCATCTTCTTGTTATATATTCATACAGTGCCTAATACAATGGTCCCAGGGCCTCTAAGTGCTACCACATACAAATAATAAATATAATGTTGGGGCTTGGTCCGCTGAGAAGAATGTCTCTAGCTTTCCAATAAATGGAATAAAACTTTTATCCAGACAAATGCGCAGGTGATTGGATGTTGGTGGTTGAAATCCGCAAGAACTAAACAAAATCTTCTGTTATACAGTCATTTAACACCAAACTCACAGCCCTCTTTTGTCAATAATTCTTATTCCTTGTAACAAAGTCCATGTCTTTTAACAAAGTAATGCAAAGAAGCTTAGATAGCTATAAAATAGTACCAGAACCTGTATCTTTGCTTCACCTTTGCAAACAATATTACATCATTAAATTATGGAAGGACTACCATTTTCTCAATATTATTTTATTTATTAACTTGTGGTAGTGTTGAATTTGAATCCAGTAAATGAAACATGGAGAAATCCATAAGAAATTTGACATCTTGCCAGTTCTAGGAAAGGATGTTGCTTAGATCCATTTCAAATAAGTCTGGGGCCTTTGTGTAGCTGTTTGCTTGTATCACTCACTGCAAGACACAGGGTTTAACATGTAATATGGTTCACCTTTACAACTGCCTCAGACCACTATACTAAGCTCAGGAGGGTGGGTTGACAGCCATGTGGGGAGGTGCTGGTGATCAGGAATATATCCATGGGGGAAAAAAAATCACAAACACACACTTTTTTTCTATCATCTGCCATATATGTATAGGTTTTTATATTGTAAAACAAGTGTGTATGTGTTTGATGAGGGAGTTATGGGAACAGTAGATGGAGGTTTCCTCAGAGAGGAAGAGGAATAAACCCGTGATCTGCTCAAATGGGTTGCAATAAAAGGAGAAACATCTTTATTCCCTACGGTCTCAAGATATCATCACAGAGCTGTGAGTCAGTGTCCTACAGCTTTGTGTCATAAGCAGTGAATATCACAATGAGATTTCTCAGCTTATGCCTGATACAGTGGGGATCCCGTGACATAGGGTCCTCTGAAGATCCAGGTTGAACAGCTCTGTCTGAATTGGCTTGATGCAGTTGCTGTAGTATAACAGTTAATTGTGTTGCTACTGACTACTAAAAATTGGCACACGTAAAACTAATTAACATCTTTATTGTCCTGTTATAAATAAATAGAATGAAACAAATACAATTAGCTTGGGGGCATGGGGCCTTGGTGTGGATCAGATCGATAAGATAGCAAGGGGTATGATTAGTGGTACTTCTTCAAGCAAAGGTGGGGGGGGTGAATGAAATCAAAATGTCAAGAACATTCTGGACTGAGTCATTAGTTACAGTACCTCAGACAATGCAATTTTGATACACATGTCCCAATATATAATTCTGTATTTAAATTAGCATGTTTAAAACTCAGAGTTGCTATCCTAGTTAGTTGCTTAATGCAAAGCAAGTGCTTGTTTTCTTAAAATCCCAGTAGGATGACCAGAAGAGCAGATGCAATTATTATTGGCATCAGTCCACCCTTTTGGTTCACATAGCTGCCACTGTAAGAGCTTGCAGGTGCGCTCAATTGTCTTCAACAGGGTTTTTGGGTTTTTTTTTTTACTAAAATAAAATTGAATAGAACTGTGGAATTCAGATTACCTTAGTTACTCTAAACTTGGAGGCTTTATTCCCAACGTGACAGTGTAATGGAAGAAATTAACAATTTCTGAGGAAATAGTTTGGAGATCTGTGATAGAAATGTCAAATTTAAAATTTATTTTTCTTTAATCAGTGGTACAAAATAATAAGTTCTACCAATTTGCAAGATTCTAGCTGATAAGGGCTCACTTTCAAACACTGTAGCTCAAAGGGCCTTGAATTCCATAGAAAGACTGATGAGCTTCTGATGACTTGAAATTGAAAGGTCAGAGTTTAAATTTGCAGCCCATAAAAAGCAACAGTGTGTAACAAATTTCAAGATTCTTGCTCCCTGTGAAAATGGCAATTAATTGTCAGACTCAAGTCTGTTACAAATGACTGCATTATATAGGTGTTATGTAACTGTACTTATCACTTACACATCACCTTTAAACCCAGTATCTTAAAGTGCTTTATAAGCATTAATATCCTCACAATATCCCTCTGAGTTAGGCTAATATTAATGCACAGACTGACATAAAAAGAGGGGAAGACACACCTGAATCTTAGCAGCAGTGCCAGGAATAGAACCCATAGTCTCTACTCCTAGTTTCCTTTTCTTACTATTAGCATGTACTGTTTTTTTTTAAATTTTCAGGGCTATTCTCTTAGGAGGGTTGGATGGTGGCTGAACAAGAGGTACCCTATCTGTTGGTTCTTGTTAACAGCTGAGCCTGCGACAGAATTTTCAGTTTAATTAGACTTTGGGTTCTAACTTACTATTGATATTTTGTAGACTAAAATAATTGCAACAAGGTGACATAACATCACAAAGTTAATATCTTTATATCCTGGCAAGACAGTACTGCTAGATGCAACCCTACACTGCTATCATATGCAAATGGCCCGATATCCCTAAACATCTGCTGAACATACTTTGCCACAGTGAGGTGCAGACTTTACTGATAGGTAATTACTGCTACTAACTTAAAACAGGTTTCAGAGTAGCAGCTGTGTTAGTCTGTATCCGCAAAAAGAAAAGGAGGACTTGTGGCACCTTAGAGACTAACAAATTTATTTGAGCATAAGCTTTCATGAGCTACAGCTCACTTCATCAGATGCATGAAATTAAAACAGCTTTCTTTCATAACTAGTCTTGTTTTTCCATGGTAGCATTCTTAATATGCTATGTCCTACATCTCCTCAATATTTCCATGCTACACTCCCTTTCTCTGGAGTTTGTGAATTCTGTGTTGAGATCATTCCATAAATCAGTTAATGTAGATTGAAAGGGGAGGGGAGCACTTTCCACATAAACCAAGGAGGAGCGGGAGATGTGGAGATAGCAGCCCATCCAAAGTAAGGAAGGAAGAATGGAGTTCTCTGTCCCCATTTCCCCTTGGTTTAGCTCCTAGCTATGGCAGAACAGCAGATGGGAGGGCCTAGCTTTCAAGTTTTGTAGTAAGTTGTTACAGTTCTCATTGTGTAAGCCCTAGGACTACATGACCTCTTGTCAGTGAGACATGCCGGGTGTTATTTTAGTTTTTACACCTAGTGATTCCAGAGTTTTGAAAACATCTGGCAAGGAAAAATATGTGCAATATGGACAATTTAGCCAGCTTGTCCTCTTTTTTACATGTACATGTACATGTCCATTTACCCTCCCCCTTCACACTCCTGTGGTTCCCCTGAGATGAGAAATAGATTTTTGGAGGGAACATACTTGGTGCTTTGTGACATAAACCAAAAAAGACATCCTACACCATGGTTTTTGCCTGGAAATCTGGAAGAATTTATAATTAGGATGTAAGCCATATAACAATAGGGTCCTGTGATGGGGTGTACCTACCCCGCACCAGCCTCCAAATGGTTAACTGTGCTTTGCAGGCTGAGGAAGCTCTGCCCCTCCGACTCTGCTGGCAATGCTCAGCCTGGAGGCAGAGTATAAAAGGAAGCAGCCCAACTCAGTCTGGGCAGGCTGCTGAAGGGGGAGGATGCAGACTGCAAGCTCTCTCCAGGGAGCTTCTACAGCAGTGGTTCTCAAACTTTTGTACTGGTGACCCCTTTCACATAGCAAGCCTCTGAGTGCAACCCCCCTTATACATTAAAAACACCTTTTAATAAATTTAACACCATTATAAATGCAGGAGGCAAAGCGGGGTTTGGGGTGGAGGCTGACAGCTCACGACCCCCAGGTAATAACCTTGCGACCCCCTGAAAAGGGTCCCGACCCCCAGTTTGAGAACCCCTGTTCTACAGGCTCCAACTACAGAGCCACGGCACGCAAAGTTCCAGACAGACTCTGGCCTGCCTAACAAGCTTGGAGAAGAGACCGCGCCAGCAGGAGCTATGCCACCTGAGGACCCCAGAGACCTGGGGGAACCGTGGAGCATTGCTGAGGGAGAAAGGGTAGGAAGTAGCCCAGGGGACTTAGACTCTTCTCCGGTGAATGAACCAGGGCAACAGTGAGCATGTTTTGGGAGGATCTCTGCTGGCTCAGTGGTGAGACCTCCCCCAGGCTGGGACTCAGAGTAGAGTCCCCCTGCTTTGGATGCCACACACCCCTGAGTGGCACCCCACTTCTCCAATAGGCCACACAATACCACAGAGGTGGGCTACTCTATTGACTCCGGCCATTGGGTCACGCTGCCCTCAGAGAAGGGCTACTTTACTGACACTGGCCACTAGGCCGTACTACCACATTTATAGTCAGGGTCACGAACACAGGACCTAACCGGCGGCTGTACAGTTTCTTTCCTTCTTCTCACCATACGTGACCCCGGCACCCATGATGGGATGTACCTACCACGCGACAGGTCCCAAGTGGAGGTGGGAGAAAAATTGGTTTTTCAGCTCGCTGACCATTCTGAAATAGTTTTGTGTCAAACACAACATTTTGTTTTAATTGGGAGTATTATTTAATTTTTATTTTTT